GTGTGTGTGTGTGTGTGCACGCGCACAAGACAGTTGCATAGTGACAAGTTGCTAGGGTGTGCCTTTTGGTTGCTAGGTGTTTAGTTGTTTTTTTTTTCAATGCAATATTTATTTATTACTATTTTAAAGGGGTCCTATTATGCTCTTTTGCAAAGTCTTGATTTTGTTTTGGGGGTGTACTAGAACAGGCTCTCATACTAGGTTGTTCGAAAAACACATTATTTTTCACATATTTTACATTATTACAACACCTCTCTCTCCCCAGTCTGGCATGAACGGCTCGAATAGTTCCTGAATCAAATGAAGGCCCGCCTTCTGAAATACGAAATGTGCTGTGATTGGTTAGCTGGGCCGGTGTGTGCTGTGATTGGTTAGCTGGGCCGGTGTGTGCTGTGATTGGTTAGCTGGGCCGGTGTGTGCTGTGATTGGTTAGCTGGGCCGGTGTGTGCTGTGATTGGTTAGCTGGGCCAGTGTGTGCTGTGATTGGTTAGCTGGGCCAGTGTGTGCTGTGATTGGTTAGCTGGGCCAGTGTGTGCTGTGATTGGTTAGCTGGGCCAGTGTGTGCTGTGATTGGTTAGCTGGGCCAGTGTGTGCTGTGATTGGTTAGCTGGGCCAGTGTGTGTTGTGATTGGTCAGCTGGGCCAGTGTGTGTTGTGATTGTGCTTTTTTATTCTCAAACAGCAACATTACAGAATAACTAAAGTTGAAAAAGTGAAAAAGCATTATAGGACCCCTTTAAATGTACTGAAAGACAAAATGAGATGAAATGGGCTACAATGTGCAGTGTCTAAAAAGTATTCACTTTCTGTGAAGTTATTGTTTTACGTGTCAGTTGACTTTTTCTGATCAACAAAATATTCAAAGAAGGCAGACAATACTATTACCGTGGGAATTTCAGCACAACACTTCCTTTTCAATGGTCAAAAAATGAGATGTAAGATTTAAGTAGCTAAACATTCCATATTTGACAACCCTGAGTTACAAAATATTTAATGAACGACAATAAATCCAGGAATGCAAGCAATTCAAAAGGAGCCGTTTTCAGCATATTAGACATATTACCGTACTATACAATAAATTCTAGTTCTAAATTTCTACTGTTTTATATCCTACTCAAATATTGTCATTCCAGACCCAAATGCTTTTGTCATGGAATTAGTTTTTACTTGTTTACTTTTTTCACTGACAGATGAAAATGAAAAAAGACTGACATGGTTTTAAAGCCTTCCCATTTGTGCCTTCTAGGCATCTTAAAATGCACATATGTAGATCAGGGGAATCTAACATTTTCCCAGGACATATGCCTGCCAAACCCCTTAAGAAAGCTCAGCTTTTCTAAACCTAATCTAAAACCCTGTGTACAGCCATGAAACCCATCTGAGTTTTTTTTTTGCAGTGTTAATTTTCCTCATGGTCTAAGTTCTGCCTCAATGCTGAATCTTCCAGATAGAGGAGAATCTACACTGCAATCAGTGGCTAGACTTTGATTATTACACACATATGTGACCCTGGAGCACAAAAGCAGTGTTAAGTCGCTGGGGTATATTTGTAGCAACAGCCAACAATACATTGTATGGGTCAAAAACTGATATGAAATCCATTTCTTGCACCAGTGATATTTTAGGCGCTCCATTCTACTGAGGGTGAATACTTTTTATGGGCACAACAGAGTCTTCGCCTCTGTTTGTGTTATGTACCGCTGTGTGTCACATGTCTGCTCAGCATTGTGGCATGACTGTAAATGGTAAACAGTGTTATGCATTTGCTACACTCATTATGTATCCTTATCTTGGAGAGCAGTGTTGAGCTAATTGTTGTTTACTCTTAGAACTTAACATTTAACATTAGACTACACATGCATTAACCAAACCGGACAGATTGCAACAGTATATTAGTTTTGTAAATTAATCTGTAACATGTTATGTCATAATGAATGAAACCCCCAGCATCCTCAAACTGCTCTCCGTGAATCTTTAAACATGCAATGACATTTCTGCCTGGGTCTTCTACTTTTCATGCTGCCTGGAATGTTTTATCTTAAATTTAATTAGATTTTTTTTTTTTCTTGAACTCTTCCAAATGCAGAAGAAAATCATGATTATTATCTGTTGTGTGCTGCTTGGAATCGTTGTTGCTTCTATCATTGGTGGTGTGTTGTCCTGAATGACACACGTACAGTGTGATGTGTTTAGAGCGGATAATAAAGAGAATGTTTGTTTGTTTCTATGTGAGGCTGGACTGAACTACATGGCTTGCACTAGGCGTCAACTAATGTCGACTCATCAAACCTGAGCAAAAGTCATGTAGTGTATTCTAGCTTTTATTCTGGCTATTGTAGGTCATTGTATTTTTTCAAGAATTAAAACACAGGTCGCCTCTGAACAAAACAAAATGTATCATCTGTCAGTGTGATACGCTCTTTGAAGCAAACAAATTCTCTCAATCTATATAGTGATAAACAGAAAGCAGTGTGTGCCGTTATCATTAATGAGCCACTAGTCTTCTTTAAATTGCAAATAAAGATCTGTGTTTGTTTTATTCTGTTGTTGCAAGTAAAGTTCCAGTTTATTCACACCTCAGATTGTTTCCAGATGTTTGTGTGCTTCATATACACGTGTGAATGTCTAAAGAAAACATGCATTACTCGATTTTAAAGTCCTCTAATTCATTATAAGTAAAGTGCTGTATATACATGGTTTCAGAGGACGTCCTCTCCATCTGCCCTGCGAGTCATATTTTGAGTTTGTACATAAATGTGCAGAATCGTAACTGCATCTTAAATGGCTTGACAAAAACATGAAAAGACAAAGAAATGTGGCACTAATGATAACAGTCAAAACAAGAGTACATATTGACTGCCTCCATGCAATAAATGAACTTATTAAAATGATTAAGAATGTCCAGCTATGTTCTGTTAAAGGTGACATATAATGAAAATCTGACTTTTCCAGGTTGTAAGTGCTATAATCAGGTCCCCGGTGCATCTACCAGTCAAGGAAATGTGAAAAAGATTAACCCAGTAACTTAGTTTTGGGAAGCCTTTTTCTGCAAGCGTCTGAGAAAACGAGCGCGTCTGATTTCGCTCCCTTGGTGACGTGGCAAAGGGATCTCATTATAATATAACCGCCCCTTAATCTGTAAGTTTACACCCACGGCGCCGTTATTGTGTTTTCGCAAGTGACAACGGTGTAGCAGCTCTAATGCCATGATGAAAGTTTGAGCAAAACATGCTAACTGTTCTGTGTTTGGCTGCACAGACGAGCACAGAACACTGTTTAGAATCCCAGCCTCAGAGCAGACAACAGTGCAGTGCATTTATTGATTTATTTACTGTATATTGCTGCTGCCACACAGATCTAAAATAAACCTGCGATTTATTTCCCAGCTGTTTACCTTCACAGACATAACCAACTTGTAAAAAGGGGCATATTATGTCTCCTTTAAGTTAGCTTGAGTACTAGCTCACACTTTAAACTTGGCAATACTGTTAGCTCAAACTGCGTTTTATGTTCCTCATTCTTAAGTCGCTTTGAATAACATAGTCTGCTAAATGAATACTTATGACTGGTTTTGTGGTCCAGGGTCACACATTTTACTAATAAATTTACTAATAAAT